GTGGCTTAGTGGTAAAGAGTCTGCCTGAAATGCAGGAAACGTGGGTTCAATCCCTGGGTCAGGAAGATCCCCTGGAGAAAGAAATGGCAACCCACTCCAGTGTTCCAGCCTGGAGAATTCCACGGACAGAGGAGCCTGGTGGGCTAGAGCCGGGGGGGTCATAAAGAGTCAGACACAACTGAGTGACTAACACTTTCACTTTCACATCCATTCACAAAGGAGAAGACTACATCAGAGCATCCATCTGAAATCATAACTTCTTCTGCTTTTAAGAATGAGGGCTGGTTGTAAATTTGGAGGATATGATTCACCTGCTTAATGTATTTTGGTCCGAGTAGGTGAAGCCACTTCATACAGGAAGGTTGAAGTAAGTGATTTTAGGCCATTTCTTATGTGTTTTGTTGTAGCAGATGCAAAATTGAAAGCAGTGGTCGAGGGGGGTGGAGAGAAGGGATTCAATGAAAGGACCAAGGAATAAGGTTCAAAACTGCATGCGGAGGGAAAGAAATAGAAGAATATAAAATATGAAAAGAACCTCTTTTGGTGTGACTGCAGTGCTTTTTTACAACGTGACTCAATGACTCAGTGGACATGGGTTTGAGCAAACTCTGGAAGATAGTGAAGGACGAGGAAGCCTGGCGTGCTGCGTCCACAGGCTCACAAAGAGTCAGATACAACCGAGTGACTAAACAACAATGCTTTTTCTCCAATGATGGAAAACCTGCCTAAGGACTCCTGAGTGTTAGGCCACTGAAAACTGTCTTTAACTACCCTACAGAGGAGCCTTTTTCAACATCTGTTTTCCTTGAAGACAACATGTTATAAGAACAAACAGGTAAGTGGTAATCATTTCTATTCCCTCTGTCTCATGAAGTTACCATAAGAACAGCCTGGAATAGCTAAAGTCATCAGGAACAAATTAGAGTGAGGTGATGGTATTAGTGTGTTCATTTCCCAGATTCATTTCTGAAATTGAAATGAATTGAATTAACCTGTAAGAGGAAATGCTCAGGAATGGGAAATAAATCACAGATACCAAAGCTCTTACTTCAACCTTGCCTTAACTGCTTGTAATCAGTGTCTAATTTCAAGACAGACATTTCATAGAGAAAATGTTATGAACTTTACTTTGGAAAACTGTACTCCCTGGTAGCTCAGATGGTAAAGAATCTGCCTGCAGTTCAGTCCCTGGGTTGGGAAGATGTCCTAGAGGAGGGCATGGCAACCCACTCCAGTATTCTTGCCTGGAGAATTCTCATGGACAGAGGAGCCTGGTGGGCTACAGTCCATGGGATCACAAAGAGCTGGACATGACTGAGTGACTGAGCATACAGGCACATTCTTCCAAGGAGCAAGTGGCTTTTAATTTCATGGCAGGGATTAATTGTTAAAAGACACAGCACTAGATTTTGGGATCCACTAAGATATTATCTGTGCTCTAGGTCCTTTTATTATAACCATCAGGTAGATGTATAAAAAAAAAAACAAAATAAAAGCAAAGTTAAATTTTTCTTGAATTGCTTATTGTAAAATTTTTATTGCAGAGTCTCATCTGTAGAAAAGAATCCACCTGCCAATGCAGGAGACGCAGGTTGGATCCCTGTGTCTGGAAGATCGCTGGAGAAGGAAATGGCAACCCACTCCAGTATTCTTGCCTGAAGAATCCCCATGGACAGAAGGGCCTGGCAAGCTACAGTCCATGGCATGGCAAAGAGTCAGACACGACTGAGCGACTAAGCACACAGCATGTACTTCTAAAGTCTGTATGTAGGTTCAGTTCTTTGCCTTCTCTTCTCTACATATGCAGCATCCTCTCCCATCTCTTGCCTGTGTCTGGAACATTCTCTGTACACTCGACTTCCTCTTGTCCAACCTCAACCCTCTCATCCCCCCTCCTTTTATTCTAGTTAACTTTTGCTGTTTAAGCCTCTGTTGAAGCCCTACCTCCTGAAGTTATAAGAGCTTCAGGAAGCCTTCCTGAAGTCATAAGAGCCAATACCCCATGTGTTTCCACCTTTGTGATCCTCACGATGCACCTTCGCTACTTGCTTCATGTCCATTTCCTCCATAGATTGTAAGTTCCATCCAGGCAGAAACTTGCTCTTTGTATCTCTAGCATGTGCCCTTCGAACACTACCTGAATAGACTTGGCTCTCCTAGGAATGAAACAACCATCTGGTTTTCATATTCTGATGCAGAAGAACCATCTCCTGAGCTTTCCCATCCCCTTTTCTCTCTCTCCTTTTTTGTCCTATCTTTTTGAATAAGCTTAGTTGCAGATAGAGAATGTTAGCCCAGACAGCCCCCTCCATTGCAGTAATCACAACTTCTCTTCCAGAATGTTCTTTGTTTGAAATCCTGCTAAAAAACACTCAAGCTCAGCCTGACTACACAAATGATGCTTCAGAAATAACAGAATTATTTGTTTTTCAAAAATAATGTTTTCTCTTGCTCATATGCTGACAGCAAAGTTTGCATGATGTGAGTAAATGTTACTAAAAATCCAGGTCCTCCCCAAGGGCTATATACGCCTGTTGTGGGAAAATCTGTGGTCATGGAAGGAGGGTTAGAGTCTGGGGAGAGAAGAGAACTCAGGAGGCAGCCGAGCCTGTCTGTTGCTCGGTTTCCCTCCTCTGGAGATTCATGTGAGGCTCAACAAGGGGCTCTCACCTGTCCAGCCCTTGATGTCATTAGCATCTGCGGAATCAAAGGGAGGAATTACTGATCTACGACTGGAAGAAGGGGCTTAGGCACTGCCTCGGGGTGCTCATATAGAAAGAACATTTCACTAATGCACATTCAGGGGGTGGTTCTGGTTTTCCTGATTTTTACCTCTGGCCACGCCAGTTTCTAGATACTTTGTTCTAGACGCCCTTGCCTTTAGCAGAGAGCTTGCGCCCTCTGGTGGTGAATATGAAGTACAACAGTACAGTCAACTTGGTTCACTTTACCTGAACCCCGCAAGGACTATGAAATGGTTGGTGATTTTTGCCTCAATTATGACTGTGATCTGTTTCCAAATATCTGTATATTAATCGTTAAGTTCCAATTTGGTGGGTATGAAGTGCCTTTCCTGGTAAGCATAAATTTACAACTGGAATATTTCAATCCTAGCATTTTACAGCCGTTCTCAAGTTTTGATGTGCGAAAGAATCACCAGGGAAATCTGATTAAAGCTCAAGTTCCCAACCACAGCTCCAGACGTCCTTGTTCTGCAGGCTTTGGGTTTCCCAGAAATCAGCCCATTTAAAATGAGCCCTCGGCGGCTTCCCTGGCGGCTCAGCGGTAAAGAATCTGTCTGCCAATTTCACAGTCAGGATTGGCACAAGAGAAGCCACTGCAATGAGAAGCCTGCTTGCTTCAACTAGAGAAAAGCCCATGCAGCAACGAAGACCCAGGACAGCCAAAAATAAATACATAATTAATTATCTTTTAAAAGATGAGCCTCCGACAAGGTTGACCTTTGTGAACTGTTCTTTGAGAAATGCTGGCCTAAAATACTAAGAGTATAGATTTGGAACCAAACCCAAGTCCCGTCTCTGCCAGTAGTATGACATTGGATTGTTCCATCCGGAAGAAGACAGTGAGAATATCTACTCCATAGATCTGTGCAGGATAAAATGAGATCCTAATATAAAGGGCTTGGCAGGATCTGGTAATGACAGGGACCCAGCACATGCCAGCACTTATTTGTAGTATTGATTTAATTAGGTCAAGCTATAGGGCAGAGAAGACCAGGGGATTTTCTGGATCAAAAAGGCATTCAATCTTTGGCTCTGAGTTTTCTGTAGTGAGATGCTGCCATGGATGGAGACCCACTCCTCCCTCATTCCCAAAGATGAGTGGCAGCTGCCCCCAGGAGGGCAAGCGGCACTGAACTGGGGAGCTTGGTGGGTGTCAAACAGCCTGGGAAGAAAAGCGGGTTGGGACAAGATACTTAAGGGCAGGGAAATACTTTTATAAGTCTTTGTACCTCTTGGGCCAGATGGGTAAAAGAGAAGTTGGCAGCTCTCCTATATAATTTCATATTAAGGGAACACCTGCTGTTTTTCTCTCTATAAAATGTTTAGGATTAACACACACACACTGCTACATATAAAATAGATAACCAACAAGGACCTACTTGGAAGGAACTATACTCAATATTTTGTAATAACCTATAACGGAAAAGAATCTGAAAAAGAATAGATACATTTGTGTGCATAATAGAATCACTTTGACGTACACCTGAAACTAACACATTGTAAATCAACTATACTTCAGTAAAAAATTAACGTCAAAATAAAATGGGCATGATAATATTTTCCCCAAAGAGTTCTGAAGAACAAGTGAGTGGAGATATGTGTAAACCCCTTAGTGTGATGATTGACACCGGTAGTGCTTGCAAAGTATGGTTATTTTTCCCATCCCTTCCTGCCTGAATGTATCTGTAGTATCATTTTCAGAGACAGGTATAGATCAGGAGAAGGGAAACAGATGCTTTAGATGTATAGTGAGATTTTAGCAGTGTTTCTGTTTTTTAAAAATCTGTATTTCCCCTGGGAAATTTAAAAGTCACACTTTTAAAAATATATTTAAAATATATTTACACTAAATATAGTCACACTATTTAAAATATATCTAAGTTTAATATTTCATATATAAAAAGTCATATATATGTGTAATATATATATGTGTGTGTACACAGGCTATCAGGCGGTTATAGAGAGCAAAGTTATATAATGACTCAGCAGGTTTTGAAGTCAGTATGCACTGTCCTATTGATACACTTTAATCCATGTTTATGTTTATCTCCTGTGTATCTTCAGATTTTCCCCAGGTACAGCATTAGTTGGCACTTCCCACCTTAATGTAATTGTAGTCTTCCCTGGGAAACTTACACACCCTGGTTGTCGCGTCCCCAGATGCACCACTAGAGGGAGCCACTCCATAACAGGTGAGGTCCAGCTAACAAAAACCACGTGATCAGCCTGATGCTGATCCGAAGCCAAGGCTACAGATTACAGGTAACACATCTCAGATTTATTAAAAAACACATAGGTAACGAGTCAGAGATTGGGCTAGGAATGATTTGGAAAAGAATTGAAGGCATTATTCCACAGAACGTTCACAGTGTGTATAGAGACAGACAGAGAGCAGGGCAGTGTCTTAGAAACATTTGCGGTGGACGATGGATGGCCCGGCCTCATCGTACTCCTGTTTGCTGATCCACATCTGCTGGAAGGTGGACAGGGAGGCCAGGATGGAGCCGCCAATCCAGACAGAGTATTTGCGCTCGGGAGGGGCGATGATCTGTTGGTCAGGATGAGAAAGGGCCGTTAGTGCACTAGGAGGGGGATTGGGGATTCCAGCATGGTCAGGATTTGTGGCCCGGGCTGAACTTTCATGGGCCTTGGGGACAGTCTTGGCTCTTAGATGCTGAAATCGAACCCTAACCCATGGGGTGTGAATAGTTGTGGATTTAGAGATTCCTCAATGAGCACCTTTGGTTTCCCGGCTTCCTTTTATACCAGGGGTCACTAACCCTCGGGATCTAATGCCTGATGATCTGAGGTGGAGCTAATGTAATAACAGCAGAAATAAAGCACACAATAAATGAAATGCACTTGAATCATCCCGAAACCATCCCCTGACCCCCAGTCCGTGGAAAAAATTGTCTTCCACGAAACCGGTCCCTGATGCCAAAAAGGTTGGGGACTGCTCTTAAACAATCTACTCCAAAACTTCTGACACTTCAGCTTCATTCAGTCTACCATCAGGCAAACGGAAAGTTGGCCCCCAATTCTACACAACCTCCACATAAGCCCTGACATTGTCCCTGATTCCTATCAGCTGTTCTTCAGAGCTCAGCGCAACACATACACTCTCTGGACACAAACACCAGCAACTTCAAGGGGAATTTTAACTGGGTCAGAATTTCTGACCATAAAGGAACTTACTGTAAGACCTGATTAAGTCTACCAAGATGCACTGTTTAACACTGAGGGGTCCATTGCTGGGATGAAGATACCCCTGGGATAGGTCTCAGCTAAGCCTGCATTGGCTGGCCCTACCTGCATGAACGGGCCTGGCACTCAAGGACATGTTGATGTTTCTTAAATCAATGAATGGTTTAGGTACATAACAAGGGTACGTCTACTTTGACCTCTGCTCTCTCTGTCTAAAAAGAGCTAGAGTTGAGTAAGTCTGAATTCCACATCAGATTTGGATACCCTATTAGGTAGAAATAAATATTGACACTTGGCCAATAGATAAGATATTTCTGAAACTGTGGTGAAAGGGTTTAATTTCTCTTTATTCCTTGAGCTCTGGTTGAACATTTATTTTTAATACAAGTAGCTGATATTTACTGAGCACTTATCTGCCAAGCAATTTGCCCAGCATTTTACATGTACTATCTCATTTAATCTTCATAACCACTTTGAAGAGTAAGTACTGAATCCGTCCCATATTCTAAATGAGGAAACAGACTGAGTGAGGTTTAAGTAATTGACCTTGGTCACACACACACACACATGACACACACATGTCAGACCCAATATGCAAACCTGGACCTCTCCCAGGTGTTTTTTCTTTCTGTTTTGTTTTGGAAATAACCTTTCAGTTTTAGATACTTCTAGATTTACATACAAGTGGTACAGACAGTACAGAATCCCTACAGCCCACCCCCAACCCCATTCAGTTTCAATTTCCCATAATGTAATCATCTTACTGTCCCAGGTTTTCAATGGTTTGCTCTCACCACACTGGAGCTCAAAATCTTGCTCTTATTTCTATTAAAAACTCCAAGATTGGAGAACTAGAAACTACCCAACTCTGGCTGAGTGTCTATCATCCGAGAAACACACATCCTCCGAAAACAGCCTCTCACTCCACAGTCCTTCCTCGCCTATGATGTGGAGAGAGAGTGTGCTTCAGTCTAGCACACCCTGTTATGTTAGCTGCAGACTCTTTCCATAAAAAAAGAGATGGGAGTGCAAATAACAGAGAACTTGTCTGAATGCCTCTCGTGTGTGTGAACTGCACCCCGAGTGCCCTTTCTCCTGCTCCCTGGGACATGGATCAGAGGGTCCCAGCCTGGCCTCCTGATTTCAGAGTAACAGTAGCCTTTGCGAAGTCACCAGCCACATGTTAGCTTGCCTCCAAAGAACGATAGCCTTTTAATCTGAGTTCCTCTGACTGACTCAAAATGCACACAATGTAGGGGTCCTGCTGGCTCTGGGAGTGAGTTTGGCCATCCTGGGGTCATGCTGCACTTTGGAGCACTTGTTTCAAAAGGTGCATCAGAAAGAGAGATGAAGATAAAGTTCCAATTCCTGGCTGCTGAGATGGAATCACATTTAGTACTGAAAGAAGAGTATACTACTGAATTCTAAACAGAATTTATACCTGTTTAGAAAGGTCTGGCTCATCTGTAATGTTTATAATGTTCTATACATGAGATGCACTACTTTCATGATGAGGAAAAACAAATGTATTGTGTATTTCAATGAGATATGGGAACATGAGTGACTCTAATGACCTTTTCCTGCATCCGCTGAAAGTAGCTGACTGACATGGATAAGTATTGATTAAACTTTGCACAAGATAATTCAACTCCTCTATGAATGGAACTGACTTAGACCCTTAAAAGTATGATACTTGAGGACTTTTACCCACTGCCTAGCTCTAAGACCCATAAGTGTATGCAATCAAGATGTAGCCTCTGAAGAATCCTTCACTTCTGGTTATAAGCTTGGCATTGTCAGCAGCATATAAGGGTCTATCACAGAACTTTACCTTGATCTTCATGGTGCTGGGGGCCAGGGCCGTGATCTCTTTCTGCATGCGGTCAGCAATGCCGGGGTACATGGTGGTACCCCCAGAGAGGACGTTGTTAGCATAGAGGTCCTTCCTGATATCAATATCACACTTCATGATGCTGTTGTATGTGGTCTCGTGGATGCCAGCAGACTCCATCCCTGGAAAAGAGACACCGGTTGTTGTCCTTGGGTGATAAAGAAAACCCAGGCTGACATGGAAGACAATATGAGCAACTGGATGATCTTACACTGGGCCACAGCTTGGCAGGCACAGTGGTCTAGGAGCCCCCATCTCAGGACTGAAAGACCCTTGAAATGCCCCATGGCCTCCTACCATTTGTCTAGGGAGGAAGCCCTGCTTTGGCATCTCTGGAAGGGTGAGAGGCTACAATATCACAGTCCTAAGCCTTAATAGACTCACTACTATAAGTGATTCAAATAAAAAGCAAAGCCTTCAAATTCCCAAAGCCTTGAGAAGGTCCCAGGCTGAGCTAATGCCACAGCTGTTGCTCAGAACTCCTAAATCTCTCCTTGACTGCTGTCTTGTTCTCACCCCTCAAAGCTAAATGGTGCTGGAACATTCGAAATATGTTTCACTTTATTTGGACAAAGCCTCGTTTTTCTTCAATCTTGATAATATTTTTTTGTCTTAATTTCTTGTTAATTTCTGACATGGGTCTTTTGAAAAGAACCTCCAGATGGCTCTTCATCTTTTATAGTTTTATGATATAATACTAATCATGCTTAGTAATTGATTACTGCCAATATGAGTCTGGGTAAACTCCGGGAGTTGGTGATGGAAAGGGAGGCCTGGCGTGCTACGGTCCATGTGGTCGCAAAGAGTTGGACACGACTGAGCAACCGAACTGAACTGAACTGAATATCTAATCAGCATTGAGGGCACTTAGTGACCCTACCCCCACACACATCTCATTTTAAAGATGAGGACACATTTTACAAATGAGAACATTTTACAGATGAGGCTCCAGGAGGCAAAATTATGAAAGGAGAACTAAGATTCACACCCAGGCTCACCTCTCTATAAACAACTATGCTAACCTGTCTCCCAAGGTCAATGCTAATGTAGGAATGGACATTTCCATTTTTCTTTTCCCCTGTTATTTCCAGACTCAGCATTCAACCCATCCTTCCGGTGGCTCCGCTGTCTCCTAAGCATGGACGGTATCTGATTCTTTCACCATAAACCATACACCAAGAATGCTTCAGCTAGACTACAACCTAGATGATGTTTTCTTAAGAAGAAAACTCCTTTCATGGCTTCTTGATGTCTTCTCACTTTAAAAACGTGACATTCTTTCCCTTGCCCTGGCTCAGAGGCGCCCTTGGTTTTTTGGCCCCTGCCACATGTTGCCACACGCAGAAGGGTGCTGGGGGCTGAGACCGGCTGGTGGAAGGAGAGGAGCAGGCTCTCCCTGGGTGTGCTGCCTACCGATGAATGAGGGCTGGAACAGGGTCTCGGGGCAGCGGAAACGCTCATTCCCGATGGTGATCACCTGCCCATCAGGCAGCTCATAGCTCTTCTCGAGGGAGGAGGAGGATGCAGCGGTGGCCATCTCATTCTCAAAGTCCAGGGCTACGTAGCACAGTTTCTCCTTGATGTCCCGGACAATCTCACGCTCAGCTGTCAATGAGATAGAAATACGGTGGCCAACCTTGAGATTTGCACAGATGGTAAATATCCACCTGCCCTACTGTCTTACAATACAGGTTTCTCCCTGAAAGTGTATATTCTATTCTGCAACCCCAAATCCATGAGGACAATTAAATTTTAGGTCCACTAGGGAACCACTTCTGTTCCCAGCAAAGTGCTTCACACAGAGAAACTTCTAAGCAGGTAATGTCCGGACAGTGCATGACAGGATGAAAATGAGCTGGCTAGCGACAGACAAAGAGCAGGAATCCTTTCGGATGTTAACTTTTTTGCATGATAAATTAATGACTTTCTGTTATACGTGCTATACAACAGTTTATTATTTTCAGTTGACCAGGAAGATTCATGCCAAAACAGTCCCTTAGAAGCACCTACAGTTTTAAAAAGCTCTGAAGACCCATGTTGTCTGACCCAGGTGGATTCCAACTCAAGTCCTTGGAAATCTCATCTCCTTCCAGAAAGAGGCCCAGGACCAGTCCCAGTAGAGAAGGTCCCAGTGGTGCATGGAAGAAGTGGGGCACTTCTTTCCGACTCCTGTCCTCTGAAGTTCTAAACTATTGGTTTTATCCAGGCCCCTGGGAACTTTTTGGAGGCATCTTGGAATTCCTCAGAGTAGGCAGAGAAGGGTCAGAATTCATTCAACTCTCTATCCCAGAAGGAGATTTTTAAATCATCAGGGCTCAAATTTAGAGTCTAGGATAAGTCTTGGGCAGGTCCAGAAACCTGAACATTTGGACAAGAGCAAATTGGTGAGGGAAGGGCAGGCTGCCAGGGCACTGAAGTCGTCCTGATGTCTCTAGTACTGTCTGCCTCTGCCTCTCATAGAGAGAGACCAAGGCCGCTAGTTTAGTCGGAAGACAAACATGCCGTTGTCTGCTGGGTTGGTATTACTAATCCCTAACAAGTATCTCATGCTTCCTCAGGACCGGGAATTCCACGTGCATGATCTCATTTACTACTCCCGGCATCCTTGTGAGAAAGAGTCAATGATCACTCCCATTTTACAGATGGAGGGCCTATGGCTTAGTGGACGTGGGAATCTAGTCCAAGGTCACACAGCCAGTGAGTGGCAGAACTGGGACCCGAGCCCTGTCAAGATGTCTCCAAAGACTGCCAATCACCATGCCACACTATTTTCAGGCTCTTTATAAATTAATTTTTTTGGAATATAGTTGCTTTACAATGTTGTACTAGTTTCCACTGCACAGCACAAAGTGTTTCTGCTATATGTACACATATAATCCCCTCTTTTTCTTTGGATTTCCTTCCTATTCAGGTCACGGTGGAGTATCAGGTAGAGTTCCCTGTGCTATAGAGCAGGTTCTCATTAGCTATCTACTTTCCACACAGGATCAGTAGTGTATATATGTTGATCTCAATCTCCCAATTCCTCCCTTATTTTCAGTCTCTATGTGTGAATGGAAGGGATTAAAAAATGTTCAAATACTGCAACTCTGACTAGCTCATAATACCTGATGGTTAAAACTGTTCTTCTCCAGGAAATGGTGTAATCGTTTTGCAATTACACATAGCAAAATACTCCGAGCTTTGCCCTGGGCATTAGAGTCAGGTCTCCCTACCTGCAAGGCTCCCTCCCATAGTTTCCTCGGATAGTCACCACGTCAGGGAAGAACACCCCGCCCCGTGCCCCCTCCCTTTCTGTCCCTCAGGCCTCACCGGTGGTCACGAAGGAATAGCCTCGCTCGGTCAGGATCTTCATGAGGTAGTCGGTGAGATCTCGGCCAGCCAGGTCCAGACGCATGATGGCGTGGGGCAGGGCGTAGCCCTCATAGATGGGCACGTTGTGGGTGACACCGTCTCCAGAGTCCAGCACAATGCCTGGGGGACAGTTGTGCAGGATAAAAGTCAACCAGGAGAACTGGTGTATGATCACTTACTGGTCTAGTAGAAGGGGAATTTCTAAGCCTTTCATTTGAAAGGAAGGAAGGCATTTGATAGGAAAAGAGAGTTGAGGCAGGGCTAGGAAAAGAAAAAGAAGAAAAAAAAGAACAGGAAGAGGGTAAAACAATAGAAGTCCTCCTGGAAATACAAGTTAAAGGGCTTATTTTTAAAGGTGAGAAGAAGCCCTCAAGGGGCGGGAATTAACTCTGTCAATTCTAAATAACCCCCAGTCCATCACAACACACGTGTTCATAAACCATTCAGTCCTGTAACTGATGGTGTACCCAACCAGGGCTTTCACCCTGCCCGGCCACCTACCAGTTGTACGTCCAGAGGCATAGAGGGACAGCACCGCCTGAATAGCCACATACATGGCTGGGACATTGAAAGTCTCAAACATAATCTGCAAAGCAAGCCAAAGAGATGAGTTAATGATCCTGCCAGTATCACCAAGAATGCACAAGAGAGCATCTTGCCGATGCCTGCAGATGGGCCGGCCTGGTTCTGGGTAGAGGAAACTAAGGCCAAGGAGGTCAGAGAAGCCTTGGTTACTGGTCGAGGAGAAAGAAAAGTGTGAATGGCGAGAACACCATACCGTGACCTGGTGTCATGGGGGGTGGGAGGGACGGTGTGCACACATGACCAGCCAGGTATAAGGAGGCTCTAGTTTCTGGTCCTGGCCCTGACTTGAACGTGACCTGGAGAATTCACCAAACTAACAACTGACTAATGTGGGCGGCCTGCGGGATCTTTGTTCCCCAACCAGGGATCGAACCCAGGCCCTGAACAGTGAAAGCACCGAGCCTAAACCACTGAAGCTCAGACTGGTTGAGATGAACCCCATTCTGTGGTCTGTCTGAAATTCCATTTAATCTGTTCAACTTTTTTCTGTAGTTGCTGGGTCAGTGTCAGCCCTAGAGTCTGAGGCCATTCTAGTGGCAGTGAAGGAGTGCTGATTGCTGAAGAAAAGGACTGCCTGATGGTAACAGAGAACCAAATATGAATGTTGATGTGGCAGTTCATGCCACCCAGAGCATAGTTAGCACCAGAGCCCTTCCAGGTCACGTGTTAGAAATGTATGCCCACAGAGATGCCATAGGCCTCTGTATCTCCATCTGCAAAACCCTCTCTGGTCTATTTAACCAGAGTGAACATCTAGCATAGTTTGCTAGACAGCCATAATTCTCACCTATTCGTTCCTACCATTCACTGGGAAAAAAGCTCCCTTAATAAACAGCATCTCTTGGGTCATAAGTCCTTTCCAGACACTCAGCTGTTCCCCTGCAGAGAGCAGCTGCTAGTGTGTTGATGAGCCATCCAGAGCTCTTCCAAGAAAAAGGCTCTGCAGTATTTATGTTTATTATTCTCTGAGGTCAAAAGATTGTGGGCCAAATTCAAGCTCTGACACTTCTAGCTGTGTGACCTTGGGACCATCACCTAATGTACTTGAGTCTCAAATTCTTCATTTATATTGGCAGTGGTTTAGTTGCTAAGTCTGACTCTTACAACCCCATGGAGTATAGCCCACCAGGCTCCTTTGTCCATGGGATTTTCCAGGCAAGTATACTGGAGTGGGTTACTATTTCCTTCCCCAGGGGATCTTCCTAACCCAGGAATAGAACTTGGGTCTCCTGAATTGCTGGCAAGATTCTTTACCAACTGAGCCACCAGGGAAGCCTTCATTTATATTATTAGGATAATAATAGCTCATGCTTTAAGTTAAGATTTAAAGAGACAATCTGTATAAAATTCTTAGCCCACTGCTTAACCATAACAAGCATGAAGTTGACACTAGGTGTATTTATTAAGCTGCTCATCCAAACTGGAAACTTTGTCTGGATGATGGAATAGATGGTCTCCTGTTCCAAAATCTCTGAGTTTCAGAAAGTCACAATAAAGATAATAATAAATACCTATTTAGTGTTTATCATACAAGGTACCATGAAACACATTTAGCATTTGTCTCGTTAATCGTCAAATCACTTGAAAAATAATAGTACTAATATTATTCTCAATATATGGACAAGGAAACTGAGTCTATGAAAATTAAGTGGCTCTTTTAAAGTCACACAGCTGATAAGTGACAGATCGAATTTTCAAACTGAGATCTGACTCTAGGACCAAAATTCCCATTGTATGTTATCCTGCATTTTGAAGTGACTTCTCCTTAGACGTTTTAAACCTAAACATGTGGCCTTTTCAGTTAAATCTGGAAAATTTCCTATTGCTCTTGGAGTCAAGGGGCCATTCCTGTAAGGATGTCTGATGCCTGTGGCCTTGGGAATCCAGGAAAGTTGTCAGCCTGTGAGCGGACTGTTGGGTGGGCCTTTTATCTGCTATTCTGTACAACCCCCTTCAAGGACTTCCTCCAAGCCCCAAAGCGCAGGGTCCCAGAGTGGTATTTACCTGGGTCATTTTCTCCCGGTTGGCCTTGGGGTTCAGGGGTGCCTCGGTGAGCAGGGTTGGATGCTCTTCAGGTGCAACACGAAGCTCATTGTAGAAAGAGTGGTGCCAGATCTAGGGGGCCGAGGAAAAGCACGACCGTGAGACGCGGCAGGGGCACGACCGTCCTCAGGAAGGGACCAGAGTGAGCACGTGAAACCAGGCCCAAACACAAGTGCTCAGTATGTGTCCACGCTTTCACACGTGCAGAGACTCAGGCTTAAAGACTACAGGGAACTTACCTGAGAATTCACACCTCGTAAGTGGATGAGCGAAAACCCAAACCCAGGTCTACGAGGCGGGGTAGGGTAGTGGTTAAGGACATAGGCTCTGCAGTGAAACCTGGGTTCAAATCCCAGCTTAAGCACTTCTTGGTAATATGAGTGTAGGCAAATTTTAACCCTTCTCGGCAACCATCTGTCCATGGGGAGTATAAAAATAATTCATGTCTTTGTGAGACTTAAATCAGGGAACCCTAGAGTTACTATTTTAGCCCAGTGCCTGGCCCAGAGCAAATGTTGCCATTATTCAACTATATCTTCTTTACCCACTGGTGCTCACTAAGTCATGTCCAACCCTTTGCAAGCCCGTGGACTGTAGCCCATGAGGCTCCTCTATCCACAGGATTTTCCTGGCAAGAATACTGGAGTGGGTTTCCATTTCTTCCTCCAGGGGACCTGCCTGAGTCAGGGATCAAACCCATGTCCCTTGTGTCTCCTGCTTTGCAGGCGGGAGCTTTACTGCTGAGCCACAGGGAAGCCTCCACTTTAATCAGTATTTAAGGGCAAATGACTTAGTGTAGCAAGTAAAAGGACAAATGAATGAATGTGTGAATGGATGAATGAAGCAGATCTGAAAACCTAATGGTTACTTTTAATATTTAAGGGAATTTTTCCACCCCTTCATTCCTCTCTTTGCTCCCCAGGGTTGAAAGAAGCTTACCTTGCCTGGCACACACTGGACCTTTCATTCATGGACAGACCTTGGCCTTCAGGTGTTTCCCCAAAAAGCCAGTGCCTGTTTCTAGCATGATGTACTTTGAACATGCTTGTGTTTGCTTCATGGTTAAGCATGCTCTTTATTTTTATTTTTTGAGCTGTTTCTTTTTGTAATTTAATTTTTATTTTATATTGGAGTATAATCAATTTACAATATTGTGTTAGTTTCAGGTGCATAGATAAGTGATTCAGTTATACATATATATATATATTTTTTTCAAACTCTTTTCCCATATAGGTTATTGTAGAATATTGAGTAGAATTCTCTGTAAGCTTCCTTTTTAACCCTGAATGCCATAAAGAACAAACCACTGTGAAAAGAGTTCAGTTGATTAATTATTTTTAAAAGCCCCCAAATTCTCGGCTAGTGTCTGAAATATTAAATTCATTCAGAATTAAAACAAAATAAAAACAAGAACTGCTAGTGAAAGTCTGTACATTAACAAAAGCTAGATTGACTTTAAAGATTCTTTATCTTGTTGCAGTTTCTTTGGTTTTGAATTTGCGGTTTCTAGAAAGGAAATGAAACTCCTGAAAGTTCTATTCCTTTGATGGAGTAAAAGCGGCACAGTGCTCAGGAAATCAAAAAAAAAAAGAAAGAAAGAAAAGAAGTGCTGCCAATACTCTAAAACATCGTTAGAAACCAACCAATCTCTATCTCTCCCCACGCTGTCTCTCTTCTTCTCTCTCTCTCTCCAGAAGACACTTTACATTTTAGAAATGACAGCATGCTTCATTTGTTTTTCTCCAGGTGTAGCCCTTCTGTGATGCTGCCAGCTCCATGGAGAAAGTCTTAAAAGCAAATTTTCTCATCACTATTATTATCTCCTCCTCAGTGCCTACTGCAGTCTTAACCAAATCCAGACTCTTAGACTCAGCAAACATAATGAAACACATTTTTCTGTAGAGCAGCAGAGGTTTCAGCATTATCACTGATAAATTCTAGCAACACTAGTTTCTTTTAAAATCGTGAGAGAGAGTATGTGTGCGTCTGTGTGTGTGGAGCTGACAGATACATAAAAATCCAGATTTTCTGGTTCTAACATATTTGCTGCATTTAAAAATTATAAGTCACTTTCTCATTATTTCTTCTGCCTTTTCTTTGATCACTTTGTTTCCATGATGCTTGAGAGCAAACATCAAAACCCTCGGATTTAACGCTTCTCATTAGCTCTTCTATATGGGTCTGGGAGAGAAAGACTTCAACTTAATGCAACTCAGGGAGATAGCTTTTTGAACTGTTTATTTAAAAATCTGTGTTGGTTGCTTGTGCTTCCTATGTTGAGGGACATTTTAGGAATGTACCAAATCTACAATGTCATAGCCCCTTTTCTACAGAGAAAACTAAAAGCAAAAAAANTGGCTGAAGGCTCTTCCCAGCTCTTCCATCCCTTGTTCTCCTGTTTGCAGCCCATACAGTGCTTGTCCATGGAGGCAAGCCAGTTGTCTGAGCAATAGACTATAATTCCCACTACTGTCAAAGGACTACTGTGCTCATTTTTAGAGCTAGCTCCCTCTCTGCTGTGTTTAGTCGCTCAGTTGTGTCTGACTCTCTTCAACCCCATGGACTGTAGCCCACCAGGTTTCTCTGTCTGTGAGATTCTCCAGGCAAGAATACTGGAGTGGGTTGCCATTTCCTCCTCCAGGGGATCTTCCCCACCCAGGGAATGAACCCAAATCTCTTGCATCTCCTGCACTGCCAGGCAGATTCTTCACCACTAGCGCCATCTGGGAAGCCCATCTGCCTCTAATTGGTTTATAAACCCTCTTAGTCAAGAAATTTGCTTTTTAAAATAAATAAATAAAGTTCAGAATTTTTAAAATTCAGTTAGTAATGATCTAGAAGGAACACCAACAAGTAAAAGCACAACCAGGCAGAGTGAGCCTGTTCTCTTCCCCAGCAGCAGCCAGACGTTCGAGACCCGGGCCGCAGGCACTACTCAGGCCTCTCGCAGTACCTTCTCCATGTCATCCCAGTTGGTGATGATGCCGTGCTCTATCGGGTACTTCAGGGTCAGGATTCCTCTTTTGCTCTGTGCTTCATCGCCCACGTAGCTGTCTTTCTGTCCCATTCCCACCATCACCCCCTAAAAAGTTCAACACATGACAAGTCAGCCTCTCTCAGAACTGGTGAACTGACTACTGTCCAGACACAAAGGGTTAAATCATTGCAATGAAAGTCCTTCCAGTATCAGCCATGACCTGCTGATCCTACTGTTACAGAGCTCTTAGGAAACATCCCTTAGGTGATTTGAAACAGGCCTGAACAGGCCTACAAATAGCTGAGAACCTTGAGGGTAAGGCGACTTTGTCATTTATCTTTTGTGTTCCTTCATGAGCTCTCTTAGGACAAAGATGGTATCTGTCTTGTTTGCCACTATGACAAATTTCCTGGCCTGTATCTGGCACTCCATCATTATTTGTTGAATGGATATACAAAATTTACACATTAGTTAAATGGCATTTTGCCTCTCATGAATCCTTTAGACTGTATGTTTGGAACTGTCACCTACTCAAGAGCATATCTAACCATTATAAGCAAAAGCATTATTTCTACAAATGACCACTCAGTTTCTAATAGATAAAATCATACTGATCAATATTACACTATCTGCCTAAACTAGTGGAATGCATTTTTTTAGTCATTAATGTGACTCTTTAGAAAAAAAGAATCCTCATGACTAAATTTAAAATTGCATTGGAGTGACAGAATTGCAAAACAGGTGGAGCTCCTATAATTCCTTAAGAAGTGATTTTTGCAAAATATCTTGGTTGTAAAAGTTTAACAAAGAGACAGAGTTCTTTCACTGGGGAAGGCTTCTATTATGTCTTCTTGTGAACTGATGCCAAATCAAAAGCCTAACTATCAATCAGATAGGCTCAGTGTGCAAAATACATTTCTGATGTGAAAGGAGAATTTCTGGGATGAAGCTCTCACCTTTTACCCAGTGGCTGCCATCTATATTTTCTTTCTATATAATGTTATATACAATTACCATATGTCTATCCACATGTATTTCGTTGACACCTAACAGGTGTAAAATTACATTAGGTAACAATGCTTACTTTCATTTCACATTAGGTTCTTTGAGAATGAGCAACCTGATCTTTTACTGTAGTTTCTTTACATAGAGTAGCTATGGAATACATCAGATAACCCATAAATACTTCTGATGCTGATGACCATGGTTACATTTAGACAAAAAGGATTTATGGGAAAAAAAAGTCAGACTTTCTGTATTTATGGGGGAAAAAAAAAAAGTCTCCCACCAGGTAATCTGTCAACAATGTATATGAAATTGGCACTTATCTCTGGACATCAGTCATCAGAGGTACATTTCTAACAAAGTTACATAATTTCTGGGCAGAGAGCAACAATCTATGAATTCCCATGGACACAGAGACATAGAGGGACCAAATCTATGTGGCTTTGTTTCTCTCTGCTTCAGAGAGAATTTTGCTCACCTGATGTCGAGGACGTCCCACGATGGATGGGAAAACAGCCCTGGGAGCATCATCCCCCGCAAAGCCGGCCTTACAGAGCCCAGAGCCATTGTCACACACCAGGGCGGTGCTGTCCTCCTCCTCGCACATCTCGGCTGGAGCTGCTTCACAGGGTCCTAAAGGGATCAGGGAGGAAGCCAAGGGCAGGTGTGATCCAGCAATCTTGGAACTTACCTGACCACTCCCACCTTCCAGCGCGAGTTGAGACTCCTCCTCTGTACTCCTAGAGCGCCCCCTGCTGATTCTTATCTAACACACCGTTTATCTCACGGCACTTTCGTTAGACTGTAATCTTAAACTCAGACTTCATTCATAAACTAGGTCTCCAGCACAGGAACATCACGTGTGCCCGTGAGCACTTTAAAGATTGACTAAGCAAGTGAAGGAATGAACTACTTCAGAGCACAGATGGAATGTCAGTCCGTGAGATCTGATCTCGCAGGGACAAGTCACCCTTCATTTGTTAATGAAGTACCTAGAATTTGCTGTCTGTATACACCCATATACTCATATTTTTCTAGATATGCTATAACTTAAATTTTTTTTCCAAAAAAGTAGATGTTGAGGAATGAGCAGCATGTGAAATTTTGGAAATACTGAAACGTTTCATGTAAAAAAATGTTTAAAAGAATATTCTCTTTTGGATCGTGGGGACTTTAATTTTACACAAGGGTAAAATTAAAGCCCTGAGGAACCAACCAAAATGTCTTATGGAGGTGCTTAAAATTTTAAGGGTCACAGTCATTCCATTAATAAAAATCACTGCTAACCTCTAAGTCCAACAAGGTAGAGTGAGTCCAAAAAATTACATATCATGCAGTAGAATGTTCTATTGTCCTTCAGAAACATAAATAAAAGGATAAGTTACAGGTCATTCTTATGTAATACTAGGCTAGAGGTATGCATTGTACGATCCTATTTAAAATGTATTGTTATGCACTAGAAAAAGATTAATCATATTTACCAAGATGTTGATGGGGATTATTTTTGAAGTGGATATTCTAGGTGTTTTACATGAAACCCTGGCTTCTGTAATATTTTCTAAGTAAATTGAGCATATATTCTTTCCGTAAGAAAACAGTATTTTAAATATCCCACATTTAAGCTTGAATCCCATGACAAAATTTGGAAGTTTGGAGCAAAAGGAACAACTTAAATATTTAGGAAATTGAAGGCTTATTGGAGAACATTTTTGTTTAATACCCTCATTTCTACAAATGAGAAAACTCAGGGGAAGTGATTTACCAAAAAACATGAACCTCACCTGAGAGGACATAACTTAAAATCCAGGACATGTACTATAATTGCCAACTGACAGACAAGGAAATCAAGACTCAAGGAGTTGAAGTGACTTGTCCAGATCTCAAAATTGGTAAAGCTGGGACAGCAGAGATTACAGCACCCGATGATTATGGTCTTGGACTCTGGAGTCTCACTGCCTGGATTTGAGTGTGGGTTTCGCCATTTAGAAGCTATGTGATTTAGTAAGTTATTTAATATCTCTGAATCAGTCTCTTTATCCATCTATGAAAGAACAATAAAATCCATGTGTAGTACATAGAGTCTTTTGGGGATTAGATATTTTAAAGCATTTAAAATAACTGATAGTGGCATATACATTATGAATTCTCAGTAAATACTATTTTTAAATTATTAATTTAAATTATAATTATTGTGTGATTATTATCATTATCCAGATCTTTTTATTTTTAATCTTGGCTTCCTTTCCACACTAATTCCAGGCTTAGGACAGAGACCTTCAACTTGTAGATTCTACTTGTAAAAATAGAAAATGTAACTTATAAGTGGCTGACTCTTTCCTTTCCCACCCTTCCCTTCCCTTTCCAGACACTGAAGTGTGTTTGGCAGTCATGTGACTTGGCTTCCTTCCTAGCAGATCAAGAAGTAAGAAGAGAGGTGAGAAATTTAGGGAGACGACACAGAAGAAGCAGTCTTAGGCAAGTGTCAGAAGTGGCCAGCACCAGATCTGTACCCTCTCTGGATGTGCTAAGCAGAGCTTCCAAATCAAAAGAAGAGCTGAAAACAGGATGAAATATTCAGAATTAGAAGACTTTGAAAATGTGATGGTGTGGACACCAGGAATACACGTCTTTAGTAACCGTTTCCTTGGGCGAGAAAGGTTTGGGGGAGTGTTAGAATGCACTGCAGAAAAAAATAGATTGGACGCTCAATATGCAGGAAAAAGAAAATCTCAAAATTTAGTAAATGTGCTTTTATTTGACCGAAAAAAAAAAGATGTCTAGGAAGAATTTTTAAATCTCTAAACCAAGCACTGTCATTAGAGAAATCTGTATGCCCCAGAAAGAAGCTGGCTTAATGGTTTACAACTCTTATCTAACCTGATGAGCAGCTGGGTTTGGAGCAAAGCATTTCCTAATTAGGTAAAACCCACTAGAATGTCTGCTCTTGGAACGGCACCCAGGTCAGGGGGGTTTGCTCCAACTGACTGGAGTCCATCTCGTGCCAAAAATGAGGAGTTAGTGGGAGGGGAACACTGCAGTTCCCAGCTCCACGGTCTTGAAACACAAACCATATTTAGTCATGAATCACAAAATGGAAGGAAAAATCTTAGCGTGAAAACCCCAGTCGGTGCCGGAGCTGCCAAACCCTGATTCACAGTGACGATCAGCCTGGGGTGGTGAGGCTGGCTCCGTGGTCCCGCCTGGTTGAGAAATGCAAACCATCCCATAGGCTGACATGCAAACAGCTGTCAGTTGCATGCAGGCTCCCTCCCTCTTTATTCACCAAGATTCAGTTGGGTTCCTGCTATGCTCTGCTGCAAACCAACCAAGGGAGACGCATATACCCTGAACTGCAAGCTCACGGTTACACTCAAGAGACTTTCCCATAGAAGACACCACCAATGAGAGCCAGAGGAACCCAGATGCAAATACACAAAGAGCCAATATCAAAGGCTAGGCAACTAACCTCTGTTCAGTTCTAAAATCCACTGTCAGACACCGTAGTTGCACCAAATGTACAGTCCAGTGAAAAATCCCCATACCAAATCTGAACCACAAGCAGATACTGGAGTTTCCAGGATCTAAATATACATCATCATGTAGCTGACTGCAGACAGCTAGACTGCACCTCTGAAATACACTGCAAGACCGGGGCTGCTGGTTTAGTATAAACAAATTTTGCAGGTGACACTCATAGATTTCATTCCATCTTCCTCTCCCCTTCCTCCCCCACACAGGCTGCATCTTAGCTTTGTTTTTGAGATTAGATAATTATAGCTAAAGGTTACAATCATGTTAGTAGTACAATCTTCATTCAAACATTTCTGAGTGTGTGAGTCTGGCTAAAATCTCCATAGATGACATCTGATTATACTGGGAAATGTCAGAGCTGCTGGAATCTAAGCCACATCTCTGGGCCGGTGCCACTTACCCTGAAAGTGCTCAGCTGGGCTTCTCCGCTCTGGGTGGTGTTCTGGAAAGCTGAAGGCTGGAGGGTTATATAGCCCCTTGGCCTGTTCCCCTCCCACTGGCTTCCCAAACAAGGAACAAAGACAGACTCAAGCCCTCTGTGGAGTCTAACACAACCATATAGGGACCTCAGCACAAAACTCTCTAATCTGGGTGGCCGGAGGCCTGGGTCTCTTCCACCGCATTCCACTGCTCTGCTCATGAAACGGGAGGCAGCTGAGCTGCCTGTGGGAGATAAACACCCCAGCCTTCAGAACAACTGCTGAAATGCCCGGAGAGACTGAGCAAGCCTCAGGGGGCATATGCCGGCACGGTTCACACATTCCTCAGGAGATGCCAACCGGCTGTCAGGCTAGCGTTTCGGGGCATTTCCTCATGAACTGAGCACAGAAAGAAGCAGCCTCTGAGGAGTAGAGACTTTAAAAAGTTCTCCCACAAATGGGGCCTGTGATGGAGAAACAGATGCTTCAGTGGTTCAGAAGTGTGGGGAGGGCGTGAGGACTTTGTGGTCATCAGCACTGGGTTTGTGAGTCGAGTCTGTGGGCGGTATTAATGAAGGCAGGAATTGCAATGGAGACAGGCTTGAGGGCCCGTGTTTCAGGGAGGCGCTTGGAAGTCAGCACAGCCTTAACCATTTTGGTCCCTTGTTCATTAGTGGTATCTGCTATTTGGTCCTGACCCATGGAGCAGCATGATGAGGGTCATCCAGCAGAGTCCATGCAGGCCCCTGTCACAGAGGCAGTCCAAGAGCAAAGCGTGTGTTTAAGGGGCAGCTCTCATGCAATTCAAGAGCCTCCTCTTGCCCCGATGACCCACTGATAGGTGACAGATGGGGTGACCCAGGCATTCCTCCAAGGAAGGTAGTGAATGAACACACATCTGGTCTTAAGCACTCATTCCCAGGTGGCAATGGATAACTTCAATGGTTTTACGTTTTCCTACTCCCCTCCACCAAGCCAGGGTGCTGACTAAATTCATGATAGAAATATTTTTTTATGGATACCATAAGCATTTCTGCTAACGCATGAGAAAAATCCCAAGGTGAACGTCTCTGTTTTATAGCTGTGGCCAGCTCTTCACTCATGTTACTCTATCTGACTTAATTGATTTATGGTACAGACAGAAACTCACATTAATCTTTCAGAAATCGCACTATTGACTATTATGTAATTTTCTGTAGTTTAAGACTAAATAACTAAAATACAGATTTCTCTGTATTTTCAAGCAACTGTCAACTGTGTCTAGTTTTTGGCAACCAGAGAATACAATTGTCTGAATGTTCAAACTTGAAGATTATGCAATACAACATAAAATCGGGCATTGGGGATATCCAGTGTTTTGGGTTTTTTTTAATCACAGGGAGTATGTGAAGCAAAAATTTCATATTTTCCTCATTGGGAGGGCAATTTGAGTAGCAGTAGGACCCTCCCTCCTCTGACTTCTGTCTCAAGCAGTGTCTGTGATAGCTTTATGAAGTGAATGTTTATTAAAAACTGAAAATAAGTTTTGATGTTCACTTTTATGATTCTTCATTTTCCCCCTTGATTCTAGTAGTGTATATTCACAGACCTGATAGCAATCAGACTATAATGACATAAACAGACTTACAAGATGATGACTCAAGGTTTAGTTTTTCTTACAAGTTTGCCTTCCTTCCTTCTTTC